AGTGTAAATAAATTCTATTCTATTCATAATTTAAAATATATACAGTCAAATAAAATGTTAAGTAGCAAATAACACACTTAAAAATACATATATTCGCGTGATAATATGCTCAAGTTTAAGAAAAAAGAAATAGGTATAATTAAATGCTAAAATGTATCTCAAAAACGTTTCAAAATACTTAAAGTAAAAATGCGTTATAATAAGTACTGGTTATTGAATAATGGTATATTAGCATCATGGTGTAACAGCGAGCTACTGAACAAATAATTCCATAAGTAATCATTAGGATTTGCTAAATAATAGCCGAGATATTAAGGGAGGCCACAATATATATTGGCCATAATACCTCCTTCTCTTCTGTTTTTACTGAGATGAAGAAAGAAAATTTTCTTCCATAAGACACAATATAATTATTTAATTCACAACCATTTTATTAAAACAAAATTTTTATTTCATCAAAATAGTTCGAATGGTTTTCAAAATTTTTGGGAAAAGTAAATTTTTTCAACTTTGATATCATGTATCTTTAAAACTAAGCCATTTCGATCATATTAAGTTTTTGTATCAAAATAAGCTTCAAATGAGGAATATTTTGATTTGATGGAATTTTGTTGACTTCGATACCAATTTGACGCCGATTCGATCAAGTTATTTCTCAATAGATCACTAGTATATAATGATCTCGAAAAAGGCTTATTCTATCGAAAATAGGTAATTATACAGTTTAAGGGTTTCTACCCTCAAAAATCAATAAAATTAGATTCATTCGACGCGTTTTTGTATGAAACGAAAGACACTGGCACAAAAAAGTGTCGCTTTGTCTCGAGATATTAAACATTACGCTGATTCTATAATAAGTCCGGTAATCGGTAGTCCTAAGTCTTATCAGTGAAGTTAATCAATAACCAACTTATACGATTAAAGCTGATTGGCCAACTTCACCGATTAAGACTAAACTTCCGACTCATTGTAGAATCAGCATTAAAGTTGACACTACTATTGAAGTTAAGAAATCTGTCACAGAGGCAAAATGAAGTCTATAATTGTATTGTTCCACATGGGTTTCAACGAAGCGATTCTCACCTCCCCGCCTCTGCAAAAGGGTGCACGACTTCTATAATTATAGTTGTTGAAGTTAGAAAATCATGGGCCTAGTTTCCACTGAGGGTTTAATCCGAATCAGAATCTAAGAACCAACCAACTACAGTCGAGCATTTCCCAACAAGAGAATACTCGACTGTAGTTGGTTCTTATATTCTGATCTGGATTAAACTCTCGGTGAAAACTAGGCCATGTAGACAGAGTGGAGTGCATAGACTAGTGCTTGTTGATTTGGGAACGGCTACAAACAAAATTGCCCCAAACAAAAAAAAATAACATATCCTATCCACTTGATACCTAACTGCCTAGAAGTTACAGAAGTAAACAGTAAAAAGACTGCTCTAAAAAGACTGTTTTCACATCTCACTGTCTTCATGGGATAGAAATATTCCAAGCGGACACTGTCTATGTTGCAACTTCTAGGCAGTTAGATCCCAAGTGAATAGAATTTTTTTTTTGGAGTAGTCATGTATCTCTGAAACGATAATTATTATTAAATACCATGTATCTTTGAAACGGTAATTATTTAGAATATCCCTCCCTCTCCTAAAATTTTAATAAAAATATACTCATTCGCGTATTCATTCAAAACGAAAAAATCTGGCAGAAAAGCGATTCACCTTGTGAATCGAATTATTAAAATTCGAGACTTTAGAGGTTACGTATTACACCTGTCATGTCAATTCGATTATAGCACTATGTATACGTTCTGCTTTAATATTACACAAATTCTCTGCTTTACAAACACAAATTTACTTCTTTAAAAACACAAATTTACTGCTAATTTACTTCAAAAACAAAAATTCACTGTTTCATGAATACAAATTCATTACTAATGCAAAGAATTTGTGTGCTGTACAAAGTCGAGATGATAGATATCTTAATCTCTAAAATTTCGAACTTTTATGTTTAATAACTCAATTCACGAGACTGACCGCCACGTTTTTCTGTTAGATTCTTTCGTTAAATTCTTAAATTTCCTCTGTTTGGATTTCCAATCTAATCCTCAGAGTAATAATACCATAGATTTTTTCGTTTTGAGCAGTTTTGGATAAATACGCGTCGAATGAGTACATTTTTATTAAGATTTTATGGAGATATTCTCTAAATAATTATCAAATTTTATTCAAAATTTATAGATCTTTTCGGTCATTTTCATCTCTAATTATTTCTAATCATGATTTATATCTATTTGATATTTTTAAATAGTGAATAAAATAGTTATAATAATCGTATAATTATCATATATCATATATTATATATTATATTTTATATTAATATTTAATTTGACACTACTTACGTTGCGAATTATGATACTGCATAATCTTATACGCTCTGGGTAAATGTAGAGAATACTATAGAATACTACGCTCACTGGCTCATCTTATATTATGACAAAAATATGTATATACTCGAATGATGTGTTTTTATGTAAAAATAATATTGTAAGTCTGTGGCGTTACTTGAAATCCCTAAACATTTTTGAACTTAAAATGGCTGCATTCAGCATAGAAAACTAATCAGGGGCTCCGCACAATAAAGGGAACAGAGAATAAGAATTCCAATCTATCAGAATTCCAATCTATCATGTATTATGGAATATACAGTTTCTGATAGGTTAAAATTATGTAATGGCTTCTGCACATTGGACGCGAAAATGCTTGCCGCGTGGCAAAATGTGATGAAGTAGCCAATAAGTTTATAGCTTCTAATATATTCATTGGTTTCCGCGTCTCATTTTACCGCGCGGTAAATGTTACGCGTCCAGTGTGCAGGAGCCAACCAGAGCGCCTTCAAGTCGACAAGTGACTAACCTGCTTGCCAAGCAAATATGATTGGTTATTACTTATAAATCCAACCAATCACATTCAGTCGCTTGGCAGACTAGTTTTATCCGGCTTGAACGCGCCTATTATTTCTATCGCTATCGTTATTCCTTCGCATTGTGTCTGGGACTTTAGTCCGGATCTTAAAGGCTTGTGTTTACAATGCTAGAAATCGGTCGGAGATTTTGATCTGAGATAAAGTTACTAGATTTTCGGATCGTGGACGAAGGCCTAGTTTCCACCGAATGTTTAAACCGGATCAGAATGTAAGAATCAATCAACTACAGTCGAGCATTCTCCTGTCGTTCGACTATACAGGGGAATACAACTGTAATTGATTGAGTTGTTGTCTCCAAGAGACGATAATAAATCGTACGTCATACGCCAAAGCTTGTGCGTTACTTACGTCTAGAACTAAAATCTCTAAGTAAATGTTACAACAATTCTTGTGTTCAGACTCTAAATTTCCGCGTTATGGGACGTTAGCCTGAGGCAGTACGCACAAACCAAATGCGTGAAAAAGTTCGCACTCAGTGTACACTAATGTGGTCTGCCGAATTCGCTATTAGTGATTCTTTAATATGATTGGTTCTTTTGGATATAATCAATGCGATGTTGCAAACGCTTTGAAGCGTTTTTTAATTGGTCAGTTTGTAAAATTCTTTCTTCTAATTGATGCATCAAATGCTTAAAAGCATTTGTAACGAGACTTTGACCACAGCCTTAGTCGTTAAATCTAAGTGTAGGAACCAATTGTATTAAAGAATCATTAAATGCTAAGAAGCTCCGCACACTATACACAATGAAAGGAACAGGGAATAGAGAACAAGGGATCGATTCTATATCTTGAAATGAGATAAAAATTATAAAAGTGAATGAATTTACTAAAATACTGATTATTTCATTGGTTAATACATAGTAAATTTGCTACTTTTGTAATTTTCATCTTGTGTGAAGATACAGAATCGACCCCCTGAGAATAAGAATTTTAATCTATCAGTCTGATAGATTATCAGAATCAGATACTTGACAGACACTAGCGCCGTTTATTGAGAGTTCCTGTGGCGGTGCGACAATGAACTAAGATAAAGAGATCCAAGATCCAGATTTCTTTTCCTTGCACACATTTGTCATTCGACCAAAACGCACAAATGAAATAGCACCCACACTCGTCTAAAGAGCTCCGATGGAAAATGAAAATTTTAACCATTAAAGTTAATGAAGAAATTTTTCACTTTTCATTTTTCATCCTAGGAAAAAAGATTCATGCTTGATTTTGAAGATAGAGCTCAATTTTTTGCTAAAGCGGAAAGTCACTGAAACTCAAATGAACTGAACTAGAGTATGGTCAATGCGATGCTACAAAAAGTTTGAAGTGTTTTTTTAATTGGTTAGTTTGTAAAATTCTTTCTTCTAATTGGTCCATCAAATGCTTCAAAACATTTGTAGCGAGGCTTTGACTAGTCAACTAGTCATAGTGCAACTTAGGGGAACCGCACAAGAAAAGGAACAGAGAACAGAGAGTAAGAATTTCAACCTATCAGAAATCATGGAATACACAGTTTCTGATAGGTTGAAATTCTTATTCTTGTGCGGAGCCCTTAAGGCGGAGCCCCACTATGACTAATTGATTGGTCAAAGCCTTGCTACAAGTGCTTTGATGGATCAATTAAAAGAAAAAATTTTACAAATTGACCAATTAAAAAAACACTTCAAATCTTTTATAGCATCGCGTTGATTCTAGTTCAGTTCATTTGAATTCCAGTGATTTTCCGCTTTAGGGAAAAGTTGAATTCTATCTTCAGAGTATCAATCATGAAACTTTTTTCCTAGGAGAAAAGTGAAAAGTGAAAAATTTCTCCATTAACTTCAATGGTTAAAATTTTTTCACTTTTCATTTTCCATCCTAGGGATAAAGTTTCATGATTGATACTCAGGACGCACGTATTGATACGCCATTAAGTTAAGTGTTCTGTTATTGGTCGGATTTCCGGGCCAATAGACGAAAGGCGCAAGCGATTGTCCGTTGTCGCGCCGCCACAGGAACGCTCAATAAACGGCGCTAGTGTCTGTCAAGTGTCATAGCCGTTCCCGTCGGTCGACAGTGTTGCGAGACTCGAATCCGGTGATTTAATTAGGAATAACGTACTTCTTTTTTTTAGTAAAATTGTGAAACTTTAAGCAATAATGACCGACAAGAAAGGTAACTATATGCTGTAATCACGCATTACCACTTAGTTGCGTGTAATGTACACTGAGAGAAAGAGAGAAATATACACGCACCCACACGGGCGTACGACAGACGCGCGTTCATACACAAGTACACGACGCATATGACACACACGCACGCGCATATACATATACATATACACACGTATATGCTCGTTGAGATAAGCCGTACCTCACCACTTGTCACTTGGCTCGACGACTAGTCGTTGCCTAAAGCGACGTCGTCGATGCGACTCCTGGTGCGAACGGCCTATAACGAGTCGTGGCGTCGCTTGCCCTTCGTGCATTGGGCTTCGGCCACCGGGCAAGGACCGCTCGAATATCTGGCCCGGGTTGACAGGACAAATCAATACCGCGCATCGCACTGAGAATACAAAATGGCCTCCGGAGTTGTTCATTCTCTTTCTTACGAGAGAGAGAGGGAGAAAGAGATAAAATGAAAAAAGAATGAGAAACAAATTTCTTATATTTATATATTACGAATTATTTTCCTCGAATCTATTCAGATTATATTTTCAGATTATATTAAATCTTTCGATTTTTATCATTGTATTTTTTAATCAATATTTCTGAATCTTCAAATTCTAATTTTTGTGTTTTCAAATTTCTGACATCTTTGCGTTATTGATCCCTCTCGTATTCATGAAATTTTTCGATTTTATACACTTATATCTTTCTCGATTTACTTTGGTTCACAAAGGAAGATAAACTTATCGGATTTTGACTTGCGATGGAATCTTCTTTATGCATGTTTTCTTGTAAATTTTGATGTAGTGAATTATTTACAAACGTTTATTTCAAACTGATTTAATGAGAACATATTGAAAGTTAAGTCGCATTGAAAGTAGCACAATTTCATCAAAATCTGGTCTTTACATTATAATTTTCAACATTTTCCATCAGTTTAGTTTGAAATTAACGTTTGCAAATGATTCAGCATATTAAGAAATACGAAAAAACATACGTAAGAAAGGTCCCATTTCTCTAAAAAAAATTTGACTATTTTACTCAATATTTTGAATAATCAATATAATAGATCGATATTGATCAAAGCGATAGAATCTTTCTCTTAAGTGTATTTTTTATTTTCTTTAATGTGCTAAAGCAAACGTTAAGTTTAAGCTAAACTATTACCAAAACATTATAAATTGCAAAGATCAGATTTTGACAAAATTGTGCTAAGTAGTTTCAATGCGATTTTCAATATATTCCTGTTAGATCAGTTTGAAATAAACATTTGCAAATTCAGCACATTAAGAAATACAAGAAAATATATATAAAAATTTAATCATTTAAAAATTTAATCATTTAAGCCAAAATCCAATAATTTTATTCATTCTCCTTTGTAAATCTGCGTATCTGAATTTCCTTTTTTCATAGATAACTGATTCCTTTTCACAATGAAATTCTTGGAATCCCAGTTATTTAATTCTCAAATTTTGAAATATTTCTTTTATATAATAACTTCTACATTTTTTATTCCTAAATTCTTGCGCTCTTTGCACTTGAATTATAATTTTTTTTTGTTTTTTGTAAGATATTTTAATTTCTGTTAATATAAAATACTGCATATTAAAATGAGATGTATCATGAATTCTGAGAACCATGAATTATTAAATTGATAGATCTTAATTTTTCTTTCTTGTTTAGTTAATATATATTTTTGATCTAATGAACATCTGATTTAATGAACATACAATACAAATTATATATGTATATATTAGTACGTTAGATTATATTAATAACGAGGTCATTGTCAAACTTCAATTTTTTTGCAAATAACATATATAAAGAATCAGAATACGAATTTTCAATTGAATTATTCAACAAAGATTCCAAGGATATAGATTAATTCTTTTATTCGCGGTTTGTATCAAATTAATTGTGAAACTCCGGAAGTCATCCCTTTGTATTACTCACAATCAGTGATATTCTTACAGATGTAGGAGCTTGTTACAAAAAGTGAGAATGCGCAAACGCCGTGTATGAAGTGTATGATTTAAAGGATCCCTAGAGCTTAAGAATCAGAATTTACCAAATAGTTCCGTTGTCGCTAACAATCGAACAGACACTGGAATCGAGGTGTTCACTTGAGCGTCTGTTTTTGTTTGCTCAAGCCGTTCCAGACGTTCCGGATACGTTTTTATTCTTTTCGCACGATGGAACGCAATCTGAAACACTCCTGGAATAGCTTCGGCAAAGATACTTTCTCATGTTAGCGCCGTAAGAACGGTATACCTCGACGATGCAACATTTTATTACCGAGTCTGGTCCCCAAAGCAGGTGCTGCGCTCCTATATAAAGCGCAGTATCGTAAGGATATATGTAAAAGTTTAGCCTGTAAGTGGAGAGCTGACATGCGCTCCTTACCATAATGATGATTATTGGTAATGTGAAGATAACACATTATATACTGCTGCGAGTCTGCTACCGTTTATACCTATGGCGATGTAGCAGCTGAGCGGAGGGTGCCTACAGTTTGGCTGTCAATATGTTTGCAGCGGACCATTACAAAGACGATTTGATCCCAGTCAGTAGGTGGAGCTCCGGAGATCGGCGCAGCCTAAGCCACGTATCTAACCTCACCTTACTCTATATATTACCTTAACTCACTACGTGTTTATATACCAACATATATTACGTATACACACACATAAATATATATATATATTATATATAAATATGTATATCTGTTATGTTGAGGCTAATGTAAAGACATTGATTGCTCTAGTTATTATTGTTTCTCGTGCATTCTTTTGCCTTATAACAGGATATCTTCGTAAATAACATATCGCTCCAAATATCTCTGTAGAGAAGCTATTTATTTTTGCATCAAAATAACATTTTTCAAAATAATGGATAGTATTTTGTAAAATAGCTATTCTATCCTGAAAAGATTTGATCTGATATTTTCAAACTCTTGCTGTCGAATCTGATTTCATCCTTCTTTTACGATATCTTTAAAAGCAATCCCTTGCTTTCCGTCAGCCTCAATGTACATAAAAATATAGAATGCACCAGGCGTCTTCCGATTTAGAACAGAAAATGCCCCAAATCGTGGATTTACGTGACTTCCAATGCGGCCATGTTTACGTTTTGAAGTCTCCTCATAAGATTCGCGTATTTTTCAAATCAGATCGGGGTTATCCATGATCGGAGCCAACGACTGATATATTCGTAAGTGTTTCTTCCAGTTTTCTACTCCGAGAAACGTAGTGAAAAGCGGACAAAGTGCCATTTTACACGCTCTAAGAATTTAACGAGAAAGAGCGCGCGCACGAGATTCAAATCTATTTCCACTCTCATGGCCGTGGACGTCACGTGACGCGTTCGCGCTGTTCGGCCGGGCGCTTTCAGAAATCGGAGACGCGGGTCGCTATATATCCAAATCAATATGGCCGTAAGATATTGATATGGGTGTATCAATATTTCATATACTGGAATTTCGTGATACTGGCTGACTGCTTTATTCTTTTACTCTTACTTTTCCTTTTTTTCTTTGTTATTCTACGCCCGATATGCGCATGCGCGCACATTCGCTCTTCTTTTCCGTAATCACGATATTTTTTCATATCCATCAAATTAGAACATTTATTACGGCAATATTATTACGTTAAATTGAATCTTGCGACATAATTTTTACTGGATCTTAAATTATCGATCAGTAAACTTTTCATTGTGCATGAAACTTTATTATTAATGACAGCAAATTAATTTTAGTCTTTTTTGGTTATTGATGTCAACGCGGTTCGTTGGTCGAATCTATCCAAATTGAATTCTTCCGAAATAATAATAAAGTAATTTGTAATTTGCGCGCACGCGTGCACGACGGGCTTCACGGCGGGTGTACACGAATGCTGTATCTAATTGTAAGCTGGGCGTGTATACTTTTGACGATACTTTTGTCCTCTTAGGAACTTGCTAGCTCACTTTTAACAAATAGTGCATGCGTTGCTTTGAACCGCGTCACAAGTTTCCCGAATATTATAAATATACGGTATAGTCACAAAGAGCTGAAAGTCTCGCTAAAATTCAAAAGAAAACTCGAAACAGAAAGAGCACGAGGCTGTGATTAACTATGTGGAAATTTGTGATAGCGACTGCATGTCGTAGACACGTCAGATATATCATATATTTTTGACTTTCTTCTTCGATGATTGTAGCGTAACCTTAGATTGGTTTCTTCAGTAGCTTGAAAATAGTTTTTAACTTTGAAAATTGTAGTGAGAGAAGCGGTGAATCACGAAACGTAATCTCACGCCTGCCGTCGCGCTGCAAGCTCGCTGTAGCTGACTTCAGGACAAAGAGAAAAAAAGAAAGAAAGAAAGAGAGCGAGAAAGGAAAAAAGAAAAGAGATAAGGCAGCTGTGCGGCGGGAAAATTCAAAGTGAAATTGCGTTCCATCCTTAACATCCTTCAGTAGGCTTTTCTGTGCTTCTGTGCAAGTATAAGCTTCGATCTTTCTACGAGGTGTTTATCTCGTATCGCTCGCATGTTCAAAAGAATGTTTTTTTCTTCAACGGTGGGGAAAGCGCGATCGTCCTTGGGAGAAGGAAAAGGGGAAACAAAAAGAAGAATCGAAAGGAGGGATGATCGTGCACCCTGTCGTCATTGTTTGTATAATCGTGCATGTTTTTTTTTTCTTTCAATATGCTGTTTTAATCGATTCTCTATTTCGCTTTGGACATTATTACCTCATCCACGTTCGATCCTCCCTCGAGACGCACCCGTCTTTTTGTCGGCGAGGGCGATCCGGGAGATCGGGCGGACTGTCATCATTTTTAAATTATTGTATTGTGTGATCACCGTAGTTTTGTAGATATTTCGGTATCGCCCTGGAAGACTTGTTCGCGTCCCAGACGGTGAAGAGTCCTTTTTTTCACATACTCGAAAAATCGTTGTATTTTATATATATTAATATTACATTCGCGTGTTTTTTTTTTCGTGTATAGTTTAATCCACCGGTTGATCGCGG